GGGGGGGGGGGGTCACACCCAAAGTGTTAGAGCGTGAGCTGCCCTTTCAAGGTCTCTGGCTTCACGGGAACCGGCTTATCACCACACAGGAACGGATCAGAGGGAAGGGTGCTGGCCCGGCTCAGTACTCAGGTCCCGCCTACCCAGTACACTGGCACCCCCACCCAGGATGCCGGGAGCGTCCTCCCGAAATGGCCCGTCAGAAGTCCTCATCCAGCCTGGCTCGGCCGGGGGTCACTCTGAGGGTGCACCTGCCCGCAGACGGGGCCCCACAGAGCCCCACAGAGCTGGGGGCACCAGGCATTGTGTTCTTGTAGTGGTCCCCGTGGCTTTGGCAGTTGCCCACTGCCTTTCTGGCCGTGCAGGGGTGGGCAGAAGGGGCAGGGGAAGCCCACTTCCGCACCCACCCCTTCTCTCTGTTCCCAGGGCCCCATCCTGGGTGGGGGACCCCACCCTTAGCACCAACCGAGTCTCCTCCATCTGCATCAGGCTTGGGAGTCCCCAAAGGGCCATAGGACACCTGCAGAGACACAGGTGTGGGCTCGGCTGTAAGGGGAGGGGGGCGGAACGGCCAGGCTCCCAGAGAAGCCCACTGCTGGCCAGTCAGCAAACGTCTGCTTGATGAGGCCCGGCCCTGGGACCCCCGGGTTTGTGAGGCTGCGCCCTGTCTTTCACACGCTCTGCAAGCCACAGCCCCCGCACCCGGGACCAGTGCCTACTGTCCCCAGCCCCCCCCCCGACCCTAGACCTACCGGTCTATCCCCACTGCTGTCCCATCGGCTGTCCCTGCATGGGAGAGGACACCAAATGGAGGGGACAGTAGCCGGGGTCAAGGGGCATCCAGGTGGGCACTGATGTCCTCCCAGGAGTGGTGCAACATAGAGCTGGAGGCAGCCCCGGGGCTGGGGGTGGGCGAGGTGGCCCCCGAGAAAGGCACGGAGGGGGGTTCTGGAGCCACACGGTTGCCTCAAGAGCAGGCAGCTGAAAGGCCCCAGGTCATGGCGCACAGATGTGGACATGGGCTTTGGGTTGACAGGGCGGGATCCCCTGCTCAGCTCAGCTTCCCCACGTGTCACAGAGCGAGCAGCCCATCAGTGCCTGCCTGGCCTCGGAAGCCCCGAAAGGGCCCTTGGGGTTGGGGAGCCCAGGGCTGCTGGTCCCCGTGAGAGGGGACAGCAGGGTCAGGCAGGTAGTTAGCCCCCAGAACTCCCTCGAGCAGATGACAAGGGCAGTTCCTTTGGGAGCCCCAGGCTGGGAAGCACATGGACACTTTTGGCGGTCCTGGGGGTTGCACCCTCACTGGTGCCAGGGTGGGACTACTCACCCCCAGGGCCTGTGGGTGTCCCGTAGCCTGAGTTCTCCCCACCGCCCAGGGTCCACTCTTTCCATGCCTCCCCTGCCCCCCCC